CTGCTTCATACTCAAGATGAATAAAAATATTGGCCTGCAGGCCAGTCATCAAGATTGTATTTTAGTGACTTCCATTCAGTCCTCCAGGTAAATGCCAGGATAATGGAACCATCTGAAATTAGGTTATGACTGTGTTCTTCCACATCTGTTACAGTCAATTCAATTGCTAATTATTCTACCATTAGATGCTACATAACCTGAGCTATTAAAAGTGCTGTTAAATAAACCATAAATTACAGCCTACAAACAAATACAAAAAAACTTCTAGCTTATACTAAAAAACTGAGTAAGCCTGCAGTTCATGTCTCACCTGGGTAACACCTGGTAGAGGAGTTCCTCAGAGCGGCGCTTTTCCTGACTCAGCTGTGCAGTCTTTTCCTCCACCAAGGCTTCCAAGTTATTGGCATACTGTTCCATCCGTCTTAGCAGATCATCCATCAAATTTTCACAGTAACCCCTACAAGTTTTATTAAAGAGAGCTTATTATATCTAAAAAAAGGCAATAGTGGTACACAACTGCAAGTATACTAAATAAGCAGTTCTAGACAGCTACAAGGCATGGATCTCTGCCTTGAGGATTGGGCACAAGCATAACGAAGTCTAACCTTAATCTCTTTAGTATTATACAAAGGAATCAGAACTAGACAGGCCTTTTGGAACAACTACTGTGGATGAGAGGTGGATGGAAGTGGTTTAGGAGCATGTTCAATGGAAGCCTTTGTTTGGTACCAGCTGTTTGAACCACTCGATTCTCCTACCAGAATGTTAGTTACTCAGATCATAGACATTAAATAATGATCAGATCAAATAACAAGTTTAGTAACATTATTAACAACTTAAAAATTCCTACCTCCAATGGTTTATTAATTATCAATGCCAATATTAATGCTAAATTACTTCCATATTATTGCTGTACATCCTAAACTTGAGTATGTTAAAAGACGTGATTCCTTTCTGAATGTGTTACAACATGCCACTTTCAGACCCTAGATTAAGTTGTGCTAGTGTCACGCATACATACACCATGTTGTTATACATGTAGGAAATCAAAAAGTACACAGCTGGGATGACCTCCACTGGCATAATATTCATATTAAGCTTCATTAAGGCTATATTCATCTGGCTCACGATACAGTTCAGTAAATATAGCACTGAAATTCAGGTTCATTAAACAGCACAAAATTTCTTCATAGCTGAATAATTGAGGATCAGATGGACGCAAGGACTCCAGCTGGATTCATTGCCCTTGCCTGATCCTAACCTTCTTCCCCACTGATCCAACTAAGGTTCTACCTTCTCTCACTGATTCCCATATCTAAAAAAAATTTCTTGCATGTGGATTACACATTGCCCTGATGATGATGGCTGCAAGCACCTCTGAAACACTGGTAAACTTCTATTGACTACATAACACAACAACCCAAGAGACAGATATCTTTGATTAAGGTGTATTACAATAATTGTGAACTATGAATTGGGAAGGATAAAAAATAAAACAATTGTAATTTATTTAAATCAATATAACGTCTTTATTATATCTAGTGGCTGCAAATGCCAGAAGTTGAAACTCAAGACCATAGTATCACAGCATCTTGAGAGAAGGACTGTTGAAACCCATGTACAACCTCAATTACAGTAGTCAGTCTTCTGTCATGGAAGGAACCAGTTTCCATCCAAATAAAAGCCATACATAGTACAAGTGTGCAAAACCACTCTGTGAATTTGTATGAAATAACAAGATGGATGCAAGCTGTAAACTCACTTTCTGATACACCTTATTATGCTTCTGATCATCTCAAATGTTGGCCTCTCATCAGGATTGTCAGACCAACATCGCTCCATCAATTCTGTCAGCTCCTCTGGGCAGTCACGGTTTCCCACCACAGGACGGAATGACGGGGTCTCCCGGGCAGCCACACGGACAATGATCCCTGTACCATCAACCAAGTCCAATGAATAAGATAAATTGCCCACCTTACACTTTATAAACACATTTTTGAAACACTTTGTACAATACTGAGGCTGGTTTTATAATTCTGTTATTAGTAAAAGTAATGGTAAAGAAGGTATGTTAACATTGTACTTATGATTAAACAAACATCATATCATGAAGAAGTAAGAGGGAATGAAAGAATAGCTCTAGACTACAACTGCATAATAATAATAATATGATAACTATACTGATAACAATATAAATATGAATAAAAACAATAATATACATTACAACAATGATTATTTAGTTTTATTCAGTTTTAATTCATCGACATGCTTGTGAGCAAAAAGAAATTCAATTACAGGTAAGCACAGGAAAATAGAAAAAAAAAATATGAAACTAATAATATGCTTGGTATGAGAGTGACTCCCTAGGTAACTCAAAAGAATCTACAATACAAGTTATGGGTAATGGTGATGAAATGCATATAAAGCACAGGTGTAAAGATGACTGAGGGGAGAAAAACAGTTGTAATCAGTGAAAAACCTGCCTCAGACCACTTTATACATCACGAATCACTCTTGTACTCAGGGCATTGCATAGCAATCTATATATTTAAATCTATTCTGATGCTCTGGGATTTTGAGAAAATACAGTCTTCATTACAAAAGCTGTTTTAAGACTTACACATTTTAAGAATTCTTATTATGTAAAGTGAGCAGTAATAACATCATATCAGAATTTCTTGTGCATCTGTTACTTAATATACTTTAAATATCTTATAAACATCCAAGTATCCATTTCCTTACAAATACAGAAACCGGAAGCAATAGTTTGTCAATATTCTCAACACATTATCATGGAAAAGGCTTAAACATAACACTGAACAGAAATTTCTTGAAACGTTAACATGCCAAGATCAAAGAAGGCCTGTCTAACAACATTTGAAGTTGTGTTGTGTACATAATTAAATTCTGGCCATCACTTACATATAAAATGATTTAGGATAGTCGGTAGAATGACTGATCTATGTGCTGCATGCCATCATGTTCAGACAGACAAACAAACCTCACACAAACTAGGTATTGGGGACAAGCTTTTACCTTATATACCCCTAAGAAATCTACATAGTGGAAACACAAGACTGGAAAAAATTAAAAACTAAAAAGTTTAATAAAAATACTATTTACTACATTAGAGCCAACATTTTGAGGAAAGTATGTGATGATTTACTGGATTGTTCATTTATTAGAGATCGAAATTTATTGTTGCAAAGCTAATTATTATATATCACTGGTCTTTATATTAATTTCATTATTCATGCAAACACAGCTACAGATTTAAGTGGGATTTGAGGTTCTCATAGCAATGAGTAAAGTTACAAAGCCAAAAACCATAACCATTACAGATATCACCCTAAAAGCTAGAAATTAATTTTCATTGTATTTTGTTAAAAGTTTTATACATCCAAAATATGCTAAATAAAACATTTAACCAATTTTATGTGATTACCACTTTATTTAGGATGAACTATTTTCTTTAGAAACATTGATTTAAGCTTCCTAAGTATAAATTTTATTGGTCTAATATAAGCCAAAATTATATTCAGTAGACAACTTTTATTGTACACTCCAAGATGATAAATTTACTTGAAATCCATTGAGTAGTTTTAAAGTGAAACATATGGATGGACAGCAGATATGAGTTCCCCAATATGCATTCATTGTATATATCAATACACATGGTCAAATTTTATTTTAAATTCATGAAGAATATCACTCTAACATTTCTCCATTTCTGAACAGCATACATAAGACTTGAAAAAAAATCCATGTTAAACAACAACAACAAACAAAATAGTATGGAGATGTGGGTATATTTCTAGGTCTCACCCGGCTGCTCACCCTGAGGTTCCAGAAACTGTCTGGCAGCTTCAAAGGGCCCTCCTCTCACCACAATTTCTTCCAGAATGATTGCAAAACTATACACATCCCCCTTTTGTGTGGCTGGTGTCCCAGGCACAACTGTAGATGGAATGAGCTCTGGAGCTACCCACAGAAGCTCTGAACAGAACGCAAACACAGGAGACTTTATCACTGGTATGTGGACTTGTATTTCTATCAACAGATGCAAGTAATTATTATATTAATAAGAAAATGTTGTTAAAACAAAGTCATGCTTACTTGTGTAATACATTTGGTCCCTGATGATTTCAGCTGGAGTGGTGAGAGTCTTTAGACCAAAATCCGAAATCTTTAGTACAAATCGGCCATCAATAAGACAGTTGCATGAGCGAAGCTTGCCATGGACTGTGACCTCAGAGCCGTGGAGGTATGCCATACCCTGCACATTGAAGATCCTGTGCACTAGACAACTCTATACGTTAGACTCTTCTGTATGAACATGTGTGGAACAAGAAGCTTTTACACTGATACAACTGACAGCACTCAGAGAAATTAAGTTACTAAGGGAAAAATGTAAAGAATTTTTCAGTATAATTGACAATTTTAAAAATACAATTTGCAGAAATTGGAAAGTCTAAATAGAAACTAAATGATTTTAAACTGTTTCTTTCCATGATAAATTTTCAATATTTTGAAATGTGTTACAAAAAATATTTCTTATACTATTTTATACAAAGGAAGAGGAGGAGGTGGTTTGGGTAAAATCTGAAAACAAACAAATCAGATGAATTAAAGAAAAAGAAGGAGAAAATAAGAGAACAGTATACAAAATTTTGGCCATGGACCAAAAAATTGGAAGTTAAATGGTATAATTACTAAGGTCTTATCGTGTTCTTGTAAAACATGCAATTGTGAACACATCTGATTTATGGCAAATCAAAACAAGTCACTTTTGACATTTCAAACCTGGTATGTATAGCACTGAGTTATGCTATATTTGAAATTATCAAGTCACTCACTAGGATTGTCATACCTTGACAACATCATGTATAAGTGACATACGAAAGTTCCAGTCCAGTTGCAACTCTTCATTTTCCAATACATCTTTAAGGCTCCCTTTTGGGCAATACTCTGTGAGACACAGGACCACTGGGCTGTCTATGCATGCTCCCACAAAGCGAACGGTGTTCTCATGTGTCACATCACGAACCTTTACAAACCACAGTACTTCATAAGTTTTGCAAATATAGCATTTTTGGACTTGGCTCTAATACATTTCTGGTTTACAGGTTGTCCATATTGGCATTTTTTTTACAATATTAGTAAATAACGGCAAGATGGAGAAAATTGTATAATGCAGAGATTCTTAGTTTGTATTCATCCCCATATATTATTGGAATGATGAGATACGTGAGGCACATAACATGCATCAGAGTTTTGGTCTGAAGCTATAAATGAACAAGACTACATGGAAACCTATGCATAGGTAGGATAATATTAAAATTTACCTTAAAGAAGCATTGTGGATTAAATTCATGTGGCTCAGAATAGAGAGCAGTGGAGTGGGATTTTCTGAACATGTTAATGAACCATTGGTTTCCATGAATGACTGTCATTTCTCAAATGGCCTCTGTTCCATAGTCAGTTAGTTAATACAACTGACATGATCAAACCTGTAACTATCTGAATACTAATCTTTTGTGCTACCCAGGTAATCTAGCAATGAGCATATTATTTAATTATCACTGATTATTATGCAAATCTATATGCTTTCTTTGCACAAAAAGAATAAAATTAACTAATATGGTGGAGGTTTCTGTACATCTGTCCATGCATGTTTATTTTCCAAACTATTGATCAGATTTTGATGCAATTTGCTTTACACTGAAAGTTATGAAGAAAACTAAATAGGTCAGTACTGGTCAGGATGTCTGACGACTTTAAGTCAATACTTCAAGGTTTCAGAATTTCAGTAGACTTGTGATGTGTTGTGCTGTTAGATATCAGAAGCACAAACAACAAATGGGAGAAACAGTGATTGATTGGACAAAATTTAACATAATAATGCATTCTCGATAAGAAATAGTTTTGTACATTATAAATCACTTTCAAAGTATACACTAAATCAGTAATGATAATTTTCCAAAAGTCAAAGCAAGAAAGAAGTTCTCTGCCTATCTGTAACATTAAAATTATACACACACACACACACATTTTTTACTTGCAGAATTTCAGAAGTATTTAATGGCTAGTTCAGCTTGTAAATATGTATTACATACCAGGGAAGAAGACACAGAAAAGTCATGCCAAGTATTTGTTCCTGCACTGCAATGTTAGGCTCATCATAATTTGGGTTTGATGTACAAATTATTAAGTTCTATGTTTTGAAAAATAATTTTAAATTAAGGAAATTTGTATGTAATGTGCTTTTAATATTTTCCTCTATATTTTGCTATTTTTAATATAAATAAATTCTGTACTGGTATCAAATGGTAAGATCTTTTATAAGAGGGAGGCCCAGAATCATACTTCAAACAGGGACTGGAACTACCTCAAAGTAGCCTTGCATATATAAAATTTAAATATTGAATTTCCCATTTTTCATGTAACTTTCTTATCACAAGCATGAAAATTTTAACATGGGACATACCTGTTTTATCTCCCACAGTAGTTGATTGTTAATATCCAGCTTCTTTTTTATTGTTACCTTCTTAATTGCAACCCTGGTTCCCTGAAATATATATTAATTGTTTCAAAAATCATAAGTTGATAGTTGATAAGTTGACAGTAATTAAGTTTTAGTTTATAAGATTATAATTTTTAACTTTTAACTTTACACCTGAAGATGGTTCAATGTAACCGAAACATGTAGTAAAAAGTTGTACCAAATATGTAAATGATATTTTAATATCTTATGTATAATTTTATTTATATACAATTGTGATTAGATGGAAAAAACACGAATAATTAAATTCAAAAATCATGTAAATCTGGGCACAATCATATCCTTAGAATCATGTTATGTAGAAGCTACTATTCCCACACCAACCAAGTCAGTGATGAAGCCCCTAACTTCAAGACTGATGGTGTAATAATGTGCATCTTTGTCAATAATATAGCACCATTCACATAAAAAAACAATAGCTGAACATACAAATAACTGTAAAATATGTTTATGCTAGACTCCCACTAAATATAATTAGCATTACTGCAATGAGTTACCTTTATTTCATACAGACTGAAATTATGGCTACTTGCATCTGCTTCTATTTCTGTACAAATGTTAACCCAGGTAATATGATACTAGAGTAAAACAAATTAGTTGGACAGTTTTTAAAACAGCTACTGAATGTCTCATATGGGAATATGCCACAATTTAATATACAGTTTCTGGTGAAAATATAGTGTTCCAACCAGTTGTCTCATGGTAGTTATGTTTTATTGTGTTTCAAGAATGAAGTACCAAGGAACCAAACTCATATTTTGCAACACAGACATGCCATAGACTAAGGTTCTATGATGTTTAAGTATTTCAAATGAGAGGTGGTAATTAGCATATCTATGATCAGTGTTCCCAAGTCATACCAACACATTTCTGACATTTATAGTGTCAAGTTCAAACATGAGTTCTGGTAACATAGTAACCCTGTACCCCTTTCAGAGCAACAACTGACTTCTTGTTCTACAACTACAATAGGGGTGTTGAACCTTCAGGTTCCACTGTCAGAGAGCTGGATACTAACAACTAAAATACTCACCTTGTAAATTCCTACAGTGGTGAAAACCCGGGTAGGTGGAAGGGAGCTGCAAGATGTCACAGAGCCTCGACCCCGGTGCAGCTTCTCAAGACCAGTCTCGAACATCTGCTGTACCAAAAACAAAACACCCACTCGCAGTATACTTTACTACACTACACATTTATTTTGCCTTCAGACAATGAATACAATTTGCTGAATAAAGAGTTAATTCTATTAAGAACTAATGTTGATGGTTAGCAGCTGATATGTAAAGTGGATCTATATACTGGACCCTGCTGTAGATTACTGTTTCAGTGTTTATATAAACTATGGGACATACAGTGCAGGTAATTTATAATTTCTGCCAAAAATGCAACCTTAAAATCATAATATATTTAAATTATGTATGTTCAGTCCTTATAAACTCATAACACACAGTGTTGGTGTTGACTTTTATTTTGGGCACATCACAATACATAAGAGCTTGAAGCCACAGTACAATTAAAAGAAATATAAAAAAAGTTAGGAAATGTACTCATAGTGTAATAATTTTTCTGAGCACATCAGAATTAGACCTTTAACCATTGTAATTGGTGCTAGTTATGTCTGGGCTCAATAATTATTATGTAGCTGGTGTGTCTGAAACCGTTATAGCTGGGTTATTGCATCGTCATAGACAGCTTCCTTGTGCCATTGTACTGTTGGCTGCAGTCACAAAATGGTGAATCAGGTAATCATGGGACCGAGATAACCTTAAACTTCCTGATATTCACTTCAGCATCCAGAAACTCATGTATGTCTTCATGTAAAGTGCCTGTTATTGCTGCCTGATTTTAACAAAAATGGTAATGTACTTAAATATAACATTTTTAAAACACTAACACACAACTGACCTTCCTGTAATAAAACACAAACAAAAACTTGAAACAATATACAATAATATATGAAAGCTGTATAACAAAAACTTCTTTCCAGATTATTTGTTTTTACATGAAAGCTGCAGTTCTTTTTGCTGTAGTTGTAGGCCTTTTTCATCATGTCAGATAATTCTAACAAACTGATCACAGTTAAGATTTACACAATAAACACAATGTTCTTGAGTGCATCCTCTTCAAAATGCAATCTTAGAAAACAATTGACAATTTACTTTGGTTTGATTAAATGCCCTCAAATTATTAACATATTTAACATATCTGCAATTAGTCAAAAAATCATTGAGACCATCTACACAAGATTCTGACAATTCAGACCCATTGGCTTGGGCATGAATCTATATTATAAAAATTCCTCCTCAGTACAATATCTTTTGTTTTAGTCTTTGTCTTGAGAAAAGAATACAGATTCAGGGTGTTTACAGAACTAAGTGCTGAAGAGAATATTTAAAACTATGAGAAAGGGAATGACAGGAGGACAGAGAAATGAAATAATGAAGATTCATAATAGTATTCTTCACCAAATATTTTAAGGCAATCAACTCAGAACAATAAAATGAATGAGACATTTTGTATGCATCTGGGAGATGAGAAATGAATAGGAAATATCAGTTTGAAGATCTGAAGGGAAGAAATCAGTTTGGAGACTTAGGCATATAAGGAAGGATAAAATTAAAATGAATCATAATGAAACAGCTTTTGTAAATGTGGACCGAATCAGAACCTGTGCTAAGATCTTGTGAACTCAGTCATACCTGATTGACTTATAAAGGGGAGAAAACTCTTGACAATCTGATTCTCAAGATAGGCTTTATTCCATGGACACAATTAATATTGTGTCAGATTGTGTTATATTCTATTCCCAGCGCAGCCTTCCCTCTTGACAACATTTCTTCAAGTGAAATTTACTGACTAAATGCTTTACACAAAGCCAATGACACAACTTAAGTTAAATTTATTATCGCTGTGAAACTGTTATAGTCAAAGCATCATCCCACACATCAAAAAGCTGATGATGCTTCAGTTTGTGTATTAAATGGCAGCAATACTTTCATATGAGTACATGTACACTGTAGTTTATTTATGAAAATTACAGAATGAACATAAATGGTTACTAAGAAGGTAGAAAATGCTCCTGTTAGGTGGGGAGATCCCAAAAAGCATAGTTCGCATGATATCTCCATTTCTTATCAAATAGACAGGGTGTCAGAAATATAATAAAATATGCATATGTTAGTACATTTACATGCCGTAAGAAGAGTGACTAATGATAAGCTGTGTAATGTGGACATTTGAATTTTGCATTGCTTTTTCTATTAACAATCACCACACTGTGATCAAGGTTTAATATTTGTTAGATTCCATGGAATTATTTTTTTATATTTATGCCATATACTTTTATGATGAGATGCTATTTCAATTCATTTCAATATTTTGTGATAAGAGAATAATTTTTCTAACAATGTAGTTGAAAAAGTGAATGATCATAAACATAACTGCTTACTACTTTATTTTGTCTACTAAAAGTACCTTCATAAAATTAATTAAAATATTTGAAACCTGTCTCAGAATAAGTGCATATGCACATACATTGATTGTACAATTTTTCGAACTATTTTGACTTTCATTTGTTGATTTAAAAAGTATCTAACATCACCCTAAGTAGTGAATGTGTTGAAGCTGTCATTGGATTAATAATTACAGAATCCTGCAATTTTAGACAAACATGGATGGTGCAACTACAAAAGGGGTTGCTTCAATTAACAGTCACTGCTGACTACAAGCTGGCGCTCATATTTTGAAAACAACTTATAATTTATTATCACACTCTACTTATTAATGTAAAACAATTTAAGAAAGCGTCCACTAGGCATAGCTGCTACAAAATTCAACATGTAGTATATTAATGGTTCTGTGGGCAATCAGAGGCATTCAGATCTTATAGGACTACCAAAAGAAGTGTATGAACTTAAACTGGCTGCATAAGGAAAGTAGAATATAAAGGTTAGATTCTGCTCAAAATGTGGACATTTGATAATCATAATAATAAATAATAAAACCATCCCGCTACAAGCCATGTAGGCATTTGACAATCCTTATATCATAAACTGCTAAATATGTATTTCCTAGAATGAACATTATCGTCTGCATGATATAGAAGAAACTCCAAGGTGGGACTAATCAGATTTAGGGAATGGGACAATATAAAATAAAACAAACAATAAATTAAATTTACATTTTTATTTCCTGTATATAACATCATGTCTCATGGTCCCTAACCTCTGTTACATACACATTTAGAACAATGAACAATGCATAAAATTACTTGAATTGATTTTTTGGCCCATTGCATAAACTTTAAAAATTACAAATATTATTTCACAACATTTTATGTTCATTAATATGGTAGCATTTGAAGCAATTAATAGATAAAACATTATTTTATCTTTCACTACATATGCAAGAGCATATATGCATATGTGTATTGAGAAGAAGTAACACACTAAAAGAATTTAAACCACCTAAAGGCTCTAGTACTTGCTATCTTTGTGTTATCTCCACACAAAAATATTCAATGATACTGAACCAGTCCATCACAGTATAAACTAATGTGGTATCAGTTTGAGGATTGTCAAGAAGAACACTGCAACCTTATTTAAGGCAAACAGTCAAATATGTATAATAAAGTTCTCTTGGGCTACCACCTGACATGGCTGGTAGCCTTAAAGACCTTCATTATATCAAGTCACCATGACACCTCCAGACTAATATGTTTTAAAATGCAAGTCCATCACATAATAAAGAAGGATTAAACTCTATTTTTTAGTATCACTTCATAGCATCCAAGTAAAAATCCCATAATTACAAAGAAAATATATGAAGAAATTTATTAATTTTAACACTATGTAACATGCAATATCAAGCCTGACACAGATTTTAACAGCACTGGTAACATGCCCCTTCCAACACAGATAAGACAGTTTGTCTAACTCACAAGCATTAAACTTCAGCATTCAGAATGGAATTTGCCATAACAATAAATACTCTAGCTATAAATTTTGCTTTTGTCAATATGTAACATTTTTAAAGCACTGCCTTACCTTCTCTCATCCAGTTTTAAAACCAAGTCCTCTATTCCTTTCATATTTTGGACATAAACGGACACAACAAAATTATTTTGAGAAGTCTCAAATTTTAGTTTTAACCTAGTGACTGAACTGCTGTCTGTGCTACTATAACAAGTGATTAAATGAAATAAAGTATTTTAAATTAGTGAATGTCTGCCAAAACCACTTGTAAGATTTTTGTAGAAAATTAAAAAACTTGTAAAACCAAGTTTAAAATATTAAGTTCTTCTTGATCAAACAGACATATTAAATCTGATGTTTTGGAGACAGATGCATTCTACAAAATGTGGGAACTTTATTTAGTATCAAAGATGCTGACTGTCAAAGAAAATTAAATTGCATTAATTGGCCCACTTTTATGCAATTACAGTCATATATACTTAACTATGACTACCAAAAACATTAATATAAAAAATAGGTATTTGAAAATAAAAATGTAATAATTATTACAAAATGTCTATACAAGTTACCTGCTATCCAACAAATAAACTGACTTTCTTAGAATTTCATCCAGTGATATTTCATAGGTAACATCCTGCAAATGGGTGGACCCCTCAAAGCCATCAAAATATGTCACTGGGTTTCTGAAGAAGCTTTGATTGATTTAGCTGCTCAAATATCAATTTAAATTGTTATTGCTGCTGAATGCAATAGCCCCTGCTAGGGAATCAATATAAACCATCATATTTAAAATACAAAAATTAAATTCATTCCCCTGTGAGTTCATGTGAAAACACAGTTATTTGATCACATCTATTGTAATTAAATTTTAAACAAAAACTTTCAAATTTTTCAGTCACAAGAAGAGCATGACAGGTTTAAGTAATGGCAATGAATGAACTGGTGTTCAGGGGAAAGATACATGTGTATAGAACCTTGATAAGCTATCAGTAATCCTGACTGAAATGTTTAGTGGTTTTTATCAGTCTCTCTAGCTGAATAATAGGATATTATATATACAATGGGAGTGACTGCATCCTTCCAAATCCTTAACTACTGATTATTTATAATGATCTTACAACCTCACTGATAATATATAATGTCTGCAATTAAAACAATGTTGTCAAATAACATAAGGTTGAAAAATTTCATAAAAATAAAATGCAAAATATGTTAATTGAATAATTTACACAGCAGGTTTCACCATTTCAAGATTAACAACTTGTTATTGCATGCTGACGATGTCTAAAATTAAAAATTACTATATTCATTGTATCTGGAATTATGAGAGTCCAAATTTTTAGACAGTGCCTCATTACAAGCAGTTAAAGAACTTAAAGACTGCACCAACTAGGTAAGCTGTTCATGTATAATATACAAAATCAGTAAATTTTAGAGGCACTTCTATTTATAAAACACTGATTTCAGCCACACACATTAAAAATAATGAAAAGTTAATACTTTATTAAGCATTTTATAGCCTTAAAGTTGAACAGCAGCATGAATCTGTATAGGCTTTTTTTCTTTCAGGCATAGTAATTTGTGTAGTAACTATGATTTCCTCAGGCTTTTCTTACCTCAGTCTTCTGGAGTCCTAATCGAGATGAAAACGGTTTTCCAACTTCCAGCAGAACTTCTTCTGGTCGCACACGCCATGACATGTTATTGAGATCAGCTGTAACCTGCATTCGTCTATAAATCATAAAAGAAAAGTGTTGTATTTTTACAAATTAAAAGTATGTACATTTTTATAATAGTTTTTCATGAACTCATTTAATGGACAAGATTCCTTCTTGAGAATTTAATAATCACTCACTGGCCAGTAAGTTTTCTGTCTTTTATAAGTTCATTACTGCATTCAAAATAGTCTACAGATAGTTCTTTTTCCAAATTGGGGCCCTTCATAACTTCCTACTTTAATATGGTGGGGTTTGTATCCACCCAAATCTCAAGCTCGATGATCACCTCATGTCATGACTGTTGATTCAATATATTTGCAAGTATTCTCCACTCTGGAGGCTGTATCATTTGTGTGCAACCTAACAATGTGCCTTGCCATGGTGATGAAGAACCCAAACAATGTGTATATAATATAATTTTTGTATTGTATTTTACCAGTACAGCTTCCTCAAATAAAGTTTGACAGTCCAGATACACAATAATTTTTTATTACATTTTAAATGTTTATTAAGAATCCGCTACATGTTTCAACCATAACTGGTGATCTTCGAATGGTTCTCTTTAAGTGTTCGGAATTAATAGATATGACTGCTAATTTGTACACATATTTTCTGTTGTTCAATTCATCACTATGTAGATATTGACATCTACATAGTCCACTCTACTAAAATAGATAAGCTGCTTAAGACACTGTCTATTATGTGGTGAAGTCAGCATCAGAAAATGTGTTTGCAAATTAACAGTAATATCTATTTGTTTCAAACACTTACACATACAGGACTATGAAGTTGTGCTGTTTTCAAATCTGCTAAAAACTGTTCCCAACAAAAACAATACACATTATCAGTTCATTCCTGCAACTAAGCAACAATAAGCACTTTTCTCCCTGTCTCTCACAAAAAAGAATTAAACATATTAAAAAAATTAAGCCTGTATCTTGTTTCTGCAAAGTCTGATGCTTAAGTCACATTAATACTAGACCACAAAAAAAATATTATTACATAGAAATACAAGTTGCCCCAAAAAATGTACACATACAACTATTACATATGTCAGTACTGTGCATACATGTTTTTGGGACACTCTTTATAATAACTTATGAAACTCATGGGTGAAAAATACAATATCAGTGATGAAGACTGACACTGACTAGTCAATGTCTCACTATATGACAATCGTCACCACAACATAACTCTCAGACAACCCATCTTCTTGACATAATTTTAGAATAGAGTAGTTTTAATATGTTATAACTTACTTGTATGCTATGCATGTCACGGTTATAGCGAAAGACAGGAATATTCCAAATGCAAAGGATGCATACAAGATCATTACGTATGCTTCTGCAAAAGGAGAGAATGATTCATTACAGTAACCATATTAAGAAGTAAATAAGCATAATTATAAAACTGTCAAAATGTGTGGATCATATAGTGTAGCTCCTCTAATAACATAACTCATAATATGCTAAAAAAACCATACAGCTTATTTTAGGGATAATCAGATAAAGCTTCCGTGCAGATCATGAAGCATATCAGTTTTTAATGCTTCTATCCATTATACTCCGTATACCTGGGTGTATTGCTTTCTATTCATGAGAAATACATATGAAACATTGCCCCTTGAAGTGTTCTTCATACAAAGCATGATCTCATAATGAAGCTGACGATTTACACATATTTTCAATTCCTCCAATAGGTTTTAATCAAACATGGTATTTGGCTCTTCTATTACATGAATAAACTTCATTAGTAAACTTCAGTAGTCTTAATTAATTATAAGGCACTTTTCTTGATGGCTTAAAAGAGCTTCTAAACTTTTAATAACAATGACCAATCTTGATGAAATGTGATATACAGAACTACTCTGTAATGTATTTTTTTTACGCATTTTGATCAAACTCAAATAGGATTTGCCATGCAAATGATGTATGCATTATTCACAATACAATGCTCATGCCTATAGCTTGTAGGTGCAATAGTCAAGGAAGACACACAGTCTTAATGTCACACATTGGGTTTATATGCCTATTCTCTTTAACTTTTTTATTACTGAACTTCACAAAGGGGCACTCTTCTAATCAGCACTGAGTATCAGATAACACTTTTAAAACATGAAACACTAACAGGTAAACACATAAAATAACACATGATTGAAAGGAAATGAAGTAAAAACTTAAAGGAGCAATACTTACAAGCAAGTACCAAAAACTTTTGTGAGATGACAATGAAACCAAGTTCAAATGGCGGCTTAAAACAATACAACAAAACTAAAAACAAAGAACAAAGCACATTTATTTCACAGATATTACTTTCAAAGCACATATACAAATAATTAGGGGTTGGAAAATTATGCAACACACTACTTGTCAATTTGTAAATTCACATGTCATTTCAAAACCTTTGGAAAATTTACCATATTATTATTTTCATTATTATTATTCTTATTAAGTAAAAGAAATTATCAGTATATTCTATAAATGACTACAATACTTCAACAACCAAGGAAAGTATAAGCAGTTTTTATACATTACCTTTGGGATGGCAATAAGAGTAAATTAACAAAACTTAAATTACATTTTAAGTACTGTAATTTGATCATTTATTTTAAGTAATATTTATTTTAATTTATCTGGTTATTATACAACAGGCCAACATAATAACAAATACTAAAACACAATGAACAGAAATTACTATTGTAAAAATCTGCTCACCTGTGGATTACCCTTTTCTCAAGTCCTGGAAGTAACCTCAAATGCTTGTCTATATTTCTGTCAAAATGAAAATCCTAAATGGCTTGAAATTTTTTAAGAAATGTAAGGTGAAAAACTCCTTAACCCCAACATAATCATTGAATCTTTTGTGTGCAGACAATCTATAAATATTCTCATGGATGGATTCATTCTTCCTACAGTATAATGTTTCCATAAACATATGTATCAATAAGTAAGTCTACTGAATATTATGGGTAAAAGTTATTTTGCTTTACAAAAATTTATATTTTAAATTTCTTTACAACAAACAATTTTATAACTAAGCCATTATTTTTCTTCAACCCATCAACATGACATACCTAAACAAACTTTCATAAAATAAAACAGCATATGTGAATATCCTGAGTTTTAGATATGCAGATATTTAGCCTAATTAACACATTTTGACTGGTTTGTTGCATGTGAATGTGTGTGTTTGTGTGTGGAGCAGCCAAGGCCTTAAAGCAAAGCAATAGCTGTGACAGTTGTGAGTGTCTCCTAAAAACTCTTTGAATGATCATCATAGCATAGTTCCTTATTGTATGCCATGTATCAGCCTGTTATTTATGTGTGAGGCAGATTATAATTCCAGATGCATAGTGATTTTTTTGTATGAGACACTTGTTAACAATTTATCTAGGGATTCTTATTTTGTGCTTTCTTTTTTACTGTTTTTGTTGCTAGCAAAAGTCTTGTATCAAGATTACCACATGGATTGGCTTGTAGACTTTAACCTGGCATCCCACCTGGTTCATAGTTTTGTCGTGATTTCTTCCATTTTCTTCTATTTTAGTACAATATTTTTAAATGCTCACACGGGTATTTATGAATCACTGCTTATGCTGTTGTAATTGTGATCAAGTGGGTGGGGTATTATAATTAGCAGTAGTGCATTCTTAATTCTATTTGCTACAGATAAGATAGTAATCTGAGTCTTCACATGTAGCACAGCTATTATTAAGTATCTTAATTGTTTGTAGTCACCACTGTGCCAGATGTACTGTTTTCTTCTTTCTTTGTTCCAAAGTCCAAAACACAATTGCAAGTTTATGTAATGGAGAGGGAGTCCATTTCTAAACAAGCTGTGCAATGAAATGGACAGACATCATTATTTTATACTGTAGCAATGATAAAACCTGTTACCAAGTCGAAAGTGCAAATGATTATCAGATATTAGGACAACAATTTTTTATTTGATGAGATGACAAATTTTACATTTATATATATACATGGAGTGCAACAGCCACATGTACATAAAGAAAGAGCATGGACTGTCATGAAACTCTTTGTAGCACCAAAAATATCATAACCCTACTTATATATGTATTGATCATTTGTTGGTTGTTATTATATTGCTTGTAAATTATTTATTTTCTTTCTCCTCATTTTATTTTCCTTCATGTCATTATCCCAGTCATCTGTGGATGCTATATAAGATACCATGCAATGAATGAAGTCTCCCTAGTATTACAGCTCAGTATGTTTATGTGAAGATAAAATGCTGAAATTACAACCAACAGATGGAATGATAAAAAATACATGCAAAATTTCTACTTAATTCAACAGAATTAATGATAACACATGTCTGAATTTGATATTTAAAAAGCTAATCACAATTAAAAGTCATATAGGTAGTCAAATTTTACATTTCATGATGCATTCATTAAGTGAACACAGTCACTGCATGAATGGTCATGGACTGTTTGAACACTGAAATTGATGATTCAAATTCAATTTCTGACATGGAAGTATTTCTATGTCATTGAGTGTTGTATTACTCTGTAACGATAGAAGTCTTGTGTTCAGCCCAGCCCCATCTGAGTCCTACAAAATGTCTGAGGATATAATTTGAAAGTTTATTCTGTACTGGAACAAGCCAGACTGTCCTATTCTTTAAAACTGAAGAACTAAAAGATAATAATGATAAATTCATTAGTTATACAGAATTTCATGTCTGTTATGTAGAATATAGGAGAAACTATGCATGATTTTATATTGTCATTCTGACAAAGCAAAGAGGTTATCTAGACTGCAAAAGTATTGTATTCTTTGGCTAATAAACTGAACGGTTAAGTCACACAGTGTCACATTCTGTTGAATGAACAATTGTGTGTCTTAACACATAATCATTTACTTTGGTTCAGATACATAAAAATTTCAAAATAACTATGAAATGTCACATAATTTTTTGTCTATAATTCCATATTCCCCATATGAGAGACACAGCAATACACAAAATCATTTTATACTTACCATTGCTGTGGCATTCGGGGTCATTACCCATGAAACCACAAGGTGGGATATCAGGTGGTGGACCCTCCCTGCTGCCAGGCCAGTGGATTGTTTTGCCCTTGACGGGTGTATAGTTGCGAGACAGCCCATAGTAGTGTGCCACCACCTCAAAGCGTCCTGTGATGGGATCAAGGTCTAGCACTGAGTAGTCAGCATCCCGGTCCCCACTGTCATCAATCCTGACATGGCCTGTTACCCCTGTAAAGCAATAACACATGATTTTCTAACCACTGATGATTTTTTTCACTTTGACTTCATTTTTATAGACACTTATCAGCAGTTTACAGACTTCAAGAAAGCCTATGAGTTTAGAGGGAACTCTGTACATTTTTATTGAAATTGGCATATCCTATGTTTAAATAAAACATATAGCGCAGCTCATATAAGTAAATATTTGCGTAATGTATTTGGATTCAGAATGGTCTGAAACAAGAAGATACTTTATTATTATTGTTTATCAATTTTGCCTTTAAGCCAGTAGGACGTTTCAAGAAAAAGAAGATTGATTGTAATTGAATGTAACACACTAAAGTCCTGTCTATGTTGCAGATCTGAATGCTGGTTTCATGCTATGAATTTATTAGGCAAAAACATAATATCATATAAGAAAACAAACAAAAACAATGGAAGCTCTATTAAGAAAGTTGGTATAGAAACAAATGCAGAGGAAACTAAGTATATGCTCATGTCTCATCATCAAACTGCAGGACAAAATCATAATATAAAATAGGTAACTTCTTCAAAAATGTAACAAAGTTAAAATATTCACATTTGACAGTAAAAAATCAAAATTATATTCACAAATAAGTTCAGAAATCATTAAATTCATGGAATCATTGTTACAATTCCATTCAGAATATTTCATATGCGACTTTCCTGTCTAGAACCCAAAGGTTAAAATATATACAAAGCTAATTTCACCCATTGTTTTAATTCCACAGTCATATAAAAATATAAAATGAATTCTAATCACAATGTTCTCAATGCAAATTATAGCCTGTTTTCTAATTTTACACAATATCTGTTGAACTTACAAATATCATGTATTATTTTCTTGGTGCAGTGATAATTTTTGTCACTTGTGTATATGGTACATTTCTGTTCCATAGAATCATTGTAACAGACGTAATTTGTCAGTCCATAAAAGTTTGTTACACCAAACATTTACTGTATTGTGCTTGCACTTGTAAAAACGTTTGAAAAAATGGACTTTCATTAAGCTGGGTATGGTCATCGTGCCCTTAGAGACTATCAATATTTACACATCTTTTAAGTTTACTACCATAAGCAATATCAATGAGTCAGATATGCAAACATATGAAGTGGGATATAATAATAAATGGACTGGAGTAACTAAATCATCATCATCATCATCATCATTAACTTTACGGATTAGGCCATTGGGCCAGATCCATCTCCTTGGGTTAATCACAGCTGGTCCTTCCAATGTTTGCTCTGTCGTCCGACGTTCCCTCTTCCTGATAGTTCGTAGAGCTGTAGTCTGTGTGGGGTTCTGTGTGGAGGAATTCTGGTCACATGTTCATACCAATTTTTCCTATGTGCACTGATAATGTTGCTGATGCTCTCTATAATGAACTTTTTATCAATGTCTTCGTAACATTTGTGATCAAGGAGTGTGTGTCCTGTGAGTGGTCAAAGTAGTTGCATTTCTGCTGCCTCTAATCTCTGTAGCTGAAACGCCATAAGTGTCCGTGTCTCAGACCCGTTGGGATGATCAGTGTTTTATAACATTTTAAAACAAGTTTCTGCACTTAATCTCTTCAGTAAGTTTTTCTTAGTTGTACCTTTGAGCTGCTGAAATTTTATTAGTTTATTATCAAAATCTTTGGGAGAGGAAGAATTCACTTGTTCTCTAATTTTTGTACTTCTCTGAGTGAGTTCATTCCCACAAAAGCCTAAACTTTAGTTTTCTCTGAAGAAATTTCCAAGTTATATTTGTTTGCAATGTTAATTTATACACTGCTCTTTGCAGATTATCATCAGTCATATAATTATTAATTTATAGTTCTTGTTAGCCTTTACATACAATGAAGCATATGAAGTAAAGTATGTTCCATAACTTCTTCCATGAACCATTTGTTTGAGTTGGTATTTTATGGTGTATGAAGTTTTAAACTTACCATGAAAGTCACGATTCCACATGCGTCGAGTGATGGCAGTTCCATTGTGGATATCTTCTCCTTCCGACAGTGTTTCATTCAAAGCCATACCAAGTAGGTACACACCATCATAAAAAGCACCAACAAAGAAATTTACCTGTAGACCATAAAAAGTGTAGAATACATGACACAGATTAATGGTTTTCAATCATTATATACTGCAATGCTTAATAGTCACACTAATTTGATTCAGAATGTGTTTGTGTAACAAAGTTTAAAATGGAAGTATGTGATATTTATAAAAGACTTGGGAGAATTTGAATGCTAAAAAAATTCTGATTGACATTAAATGTTAAAGAATTTAAAGTTAAAGTTGTGGATTTTAATATAAAGAAACAACTGTAATATAATAGCACAGAAATGGAAAATAGCTTTTATTACCACAGTGACCCATTACTTAAAGACTTTGTAATATATCTATCTGGTCTAGTATTTATATTGATTTCATTATGTAACGTAGGATGCTGCTTAAAGACTTTGTAATATATCTATCTGATCTAGTATTTATATTGGTTTCATTATGTAACGTAAGATGCTATAACCCAACCTACTCCATTTACATTATTTTCCCTGCTAATATATCATTCTACATTGTAACAGTCGGCATATTTTGATTGCAGGCTGAGTCATGTCTAGAGCTTGGTTTCTGAGACCTCACAATTTGATTATCTTGTACTCTATAGCTTTTAATTTTTATTCAAAATTTTCCACCAGAATATCAAGAAAATATCACATAATATAAGTGTGTGATACATAAAGTATTTGGATGATAACATGTGACATCACAATTTTTGAGTTGTCCCTGAATAAACTGAAATGTGTAGTAGTTTAATAAATATTAAATCAATGAGTAACTATTGTATTTAGTTTTTAATGACTATGGAGTAAACATAAGCACATGTATGGCAGGTAGCAATGAAATACCAGCCTCCTATTAGATGAAAAATGAGAAAGTGATCTTCAAACATGGTTCAGATATTACAGAACAAAAAGCAGATGGAAAATTTGAAGTATGCATAGGTTCTATATAGCCTAAACTACAGGGACAATCACTGTGGTTATTTGTGACAAGCAGAATGTTACAACATGGATTAAAATCTACATCAGAGTGCTCTGAAATTTATCACATAAAAAACATTCTGGAAAGAATGTTTTCATATAGATAAAAGTCTTTGCTCCCTAATTTGCCTTTAAATCTACTACAGAGCCACTGTTAACTATGTATAGCGCTGCACCTCTTCCCCCTCAGAGAACGTGTAATTGTAATCTTGTTGTGCTAGGCGGCGTACACTGTCAGCAAATTCCTGGAACTTGGGACTTGTAGGTGTTAATAGTGATACACGCAGAAGTGCTTCATATGCCTTCTTGGCCATGTTATCCTGAGAATCCCTCACTTGCCAGTCATGATCACTCCAATAAGGACCCTGTTTGGCAAAAATCATTACTGTAAAATTTGTCTTTCTGATGTAACCAAGTACATCTAACAATAATGTTACAATAACCCTGATGGACTTTCAAGATATGTTGCAATTGTTTAATTTCTTTGAAAAATGCAATATAAAAATTGAGATATCCACAAATATTTTATAATTGGAAGAATGACATGAATTGTTATGATGTATATGAGTTTCTCTACAAAACTGATTATATGACAAGTTTTTTTACAGCTTACAAAATTACAGGAGTTCTAATCAGTTCACGAAGTTATATGAATTTTTCTATAAAACTGATCAGATGATACAAATTTTCTTTACTAGATAACATTTCTTTACACAATACATGAGATGACATGAGTTTACCTACATAACAGACAATATGACAAGAGTTCTAAGCATTTGACAAAAGTACACACATTTTCCTCAGATCTTATTCAGTGGTATGTATGTACATATATTATTAAAGTATCACTCTTCTATTACACTAATTTTATTACATTTATGCATGATGTTTGTTGAAGGAATATTGGTATGTCAGGATTGTAAAGTATCTTGGAGCAAAGTTTACTGATTCATTTACTTATGAAGCTTGTGCAATGAATTGCTTTTGCTTGTTTTCCTTTTCAGAGAATGGTTTTAATTCTGATAAACTGCAACTTATGTACTAAGATAAGGCTGTTGTTTGTGAGGTAAAAATGTACATGTCTATGTCATAATTTGAGGACTGAACTAGAAATTCAGCCTAAAGTCCTTGCTATGCATTAGTCATTCACTTAAATATCATTAGTAGTTTTACTAGTACAAGTTCTATAATGGATTCTTAATATTCCGTTCAACAACTGCATGAAACATGATCCCTTACTCTATGGGGAGAATATGTATTGTAATAGTTTAAGAAGTTCTATAATGGATTCTTAATATTCCATTCAACAACTGCGTGAAACTTGATCCCTTACTCTATGGGAAGAATATGTATTGTAATAGTTTAAAATCATAGTGCCTCAAAGAATGTTTGGGCCTATGAAGGAAGACACAGGTGGTCAATTTTCAATATTTCATAATGAGAAACTTCATTATTCAGGCCTGTGCAGTACACCTAGTAGTGCTAGAATAATGAAATCAAGGATACAAAGGGCTGGATAAATGGAAAAATGGAGGGAGACAAGGACTGCATAAAGAATTTTGCTGGGGGAAACTCTTGAAAAATGTCCATTTGATAGACTGAGATGACTGGAGAATAACATTAAGCTATCAGTGTCTATGTTTATTCATGCTTTAGTGAATGCTCCTTCCTTTTTATGAGACCTGTTTTTCATCAAATTGTGATGATTTTATACCTGGAATATTTCTACATCCAGGAAGGTCCAGTCACCACGAGTCATCCCAAGACCGTATGCTGCCAGCATAAACTTCCGCACAAGAACACCACGGACACTCAGGATCAAGACTAGAATAATATAAATATTTCCCTCAGCAACTACAGCAATGTACAATGATCTTTCACACATTATAATATAGACAGAGTATATCTGAGAACAGAGTGCTGAGAAATAAAGACTTAATGACAGGAAAGAAAAGACTTATATCATGACACGAGCAACTTTACAATTTGTACCCTTCACTAAATATTATCAGAGTGATCAAATCAAGGAGTATGAGATGGTGGAACACATAACATGTAGGAAATAATGAATACAAAGTTTTAGACTAGAAAATACAAGGGGAAAAGATCATTTAAGAGATTTTGACATCTGCATCAATGGGAAGATAAGTTTAAATTACTTTTAAGTCCAGTGGCATTCTCTATTGAACATAGTAATAAACCTTTGGGTTGCATAAAATGCAAAGAATTTCTTGCCCATCTAAGTGATTATTTCAGCTTCTGATGAAGACGCTGGAGTGTAATAATTGTAAATGTGATAACAACTTGCCTCTTTGATGTCCACATCTGTCTGTCAACAAATGACTACAAGTTCTAATTTATTTTCTTTTAATTTTAAAATTGTTAGGCTGGGTCACATATTGGACTCTTACAAGATTTTCTAAATTTTAGAATGAGTACAGACAATCATGTTTAGTAACTTACTAAAGCAATCTTTCCACCTGTCTACGATGCCATGTGAGTCCACGAGCAGATCCCCATTCTCATCCTTGATCGAATGTGTCCTAGGTTTGTAACCCTTCTGAAATTCGCTTATGTCTCTATACAACTCTCTGATGTTTTTATTTTCGCTGTTAGTTTACAGCTCCCCTATCTGATCTCTGAGATACTCCCTCTTCTTATTCCTCAAGGTTCTGCTGCTTCCACGTCTTACACTGACATACCTATTCCTATTTACTCGCATATGGGCCTGCAGCCATTGGAATCTAGAGTTCCTCCTCCGACTTACCAAGACAGAGCATTCTTCATCAAACCATGCTTTATTTCACGAAATTTTATGATACACTACACCCTCCACAGCTGAAATTTTCATGTTATCCCATATATTTTCCCAGGCCTTATTGATGTCTACTTCTCTATCCTTTGTATTCTCTTCAACGTTTTCTAGGATTGTAAACGTATTCTAATTTTTTACCTGATACTCTTGCTTAGTTTCTACATCGCTCAGTCTTTTGATGTTGAATTTCTCAATTCTGTCTATCAGCCCCGGTTACTTTTTGACCGAGAGTCTTGACCTCAATTTTGCTATCACTAAATAATGGTCAGTATCATAGTCCGCTTCTCTTTAAGATCGCACATCTATGATGTTTGATTGTCTCCTCCAATCGATTAGAATGTGATCAATTTGATTATGGGTCATCCCATCAGGGAAAGTCCAAGTGTGCTGGGAATAATAAATTCTTTTCGGGCTACGGGCCGTGTAAGGTAGCTTAATGATAAGATATGGGAATGTTGTGCTTTTGAAAATCAGATTTTTGGATGTGACAAAGCTCACTAATCTTACCCCATTGTCATTACTAGATTCATGTCAACTGTCACTCCCTATAGTTGATTTTAAATTATCTTCCCAACCAATTTTGGCATTGAAGTCTCCTAGCAGAATTTTTATGTGATATCTACTAAACTGATCAAATACAGGAACTAATTCTCCATAAAAGCTATCTTTTACCTCATCATCCTCATCTTCTGTTGGTACATGCACATTTAAAATAATAATATCACAACATCGACCACGAATAATTAAGTATGACAGTCTATCATAAACAAATTCTACTTTTTAACTGCCCACTGTAGATCTCTTTTCACTAACAATACCCAAAACCTGTTCCCAGGCTATGGTCCTTATTCCCTTTCCCATGGTGTAATATGTAGTTCCCCTTTGTGAGTCTTTCATCATCAGGCCATCTAACCTGTATTCCTGCAATATCCAAACTATAATTCCCTATGTCCATAGCTAATGTATCCCATGCCCCAATTCCACATAGGCTCCTCACATTCCATGTTCCAATTCTCAGGCCCTTTAAACACCATCTGGTTCGAAAATTCATACAATTCATCCTATTCTGAGGCTTTGCTGTTGTTTCCGTAACATAAAACATTTTTACGGTGAAGGGTTGTTATCCCTATGCCCAATTTCCAAGCTAGAGAACCACCCTTATCATAGAATTTGACGTTTTCTCGACAGTGAGTCTTCTGGGTTGTTGCGTTATGTAGTCTGGTAGACGTTTACCGACATTGCTGCCTCCATCAGCAGGGCGATGACTCATCACCCACCGCTCTAAAGACGGAGTTAGCAAAGACCTCTGAAACGTCAGTAAACTTCTACCAGACTACACAGCGTAATAACCCAGAAGACAGGCACCTTCGCACTCCTTATCGGTTGTCTGCAAATGCTTATTAAATATATTTGCTGTTGCTCCAACTGCAACCTGAGGATGTACCTTGCTTGGTGATGGGGGCCCACCTAACATGGCATTTCTACAATCTGAGTAAATCATTAGAAATCATTTAAGCTAATCACTGTACCTGATCAGACTTTCATAGTTTACCTCAGTTCTTCCAGAGTACTTTCTGAGCAGTACCTTGAAACAAACCACATCCCACTCCCCCAAAATCTCTTCCAAAGTGTCATTATTATTTTGTACCTCTGGCGTACATACTGGCGTCCTTAAGGTAGTGGTCATACTGCTCCTCATCATTGCCGTCTAGCTCCCGAACAAACCGCAGCAATCCCTGCTTCCTGAGGCCATGCTCCAGGTTCTTCCCTGCAACACTCAATGCACATGTGCACTACAGTGATGTACATCAGTTGTGGGGCCCAGTGTCCTAGACCCATCCTGTCATAATCTTATAGATTCAAAATAATTTTAACCTCCTTTCACACTTTAACCCTTTGATAATTATGAAAATATATTTATGAGTGTTATGAAAGTGGATTCATTACTGTGAATCTACATGGGGATGGGCATTGTGCAACATGATGACACCCATCATGATCACAAAGAGGCAATTTCTCTTTATGGTAGAATCAAAGCCTCTGACGGTTCCACAATATGTAGTTTATGATCCTTGGTATCAAAGAAACAAATGTTTGGTCAAACTCTGCACTTGAAATGTCAGCATTTAATTGTGTCAACAGCTCCTTTTTGCTCTAATAGGTGTATTACGTTGCACAACTCATGGTTAAATGTTGGTGTGTCATGCACAGCCATGTAATTGCCTGCGACCAACTGTATTTACCGAACAGCATTGCAAACAGGTTCCATTTAAACAATATTTTCAAATTTGCCTTAGAATATGCCATCAGGAAGAAAATCGGGGCAATTTGGAATTTAATGGGACACATCTGTTTTGGTCTATGCTGATATTAATCTGTTTGGTGATAACATAAACACTACAAAAGTGAACACAAAAACACTCTTAAGGGTTAGTAGTGATGTTGGTCTAAAAATAAATGCAGAAAATACAAAGTATATGATCATGTCTTGGCATCAGAATTCAGGACAGAACCAGAATATAAGGATAGCTAATGAATCGTTCGAAAACATGACAAAATTCAAGTACTTGGCGACGACACTAACAAGTCAGAATCGAGAGCAGATTCAGCTCAAAATCTTTTGTCATCCTGTCTCATATGAAAAAATCTAAAGATTAAAATATACAAAAATGTAATTTTGCCAGTTTTGCTGTATTGGTGTGAAACTTGGTCTCTCACTTTGAGGGAAGAACATGGATTGAGGGTCTTTGAGAACAGAGTGCTGAGGACAATATTTGGGCCCACAAAGGAGGAAAATGGTTCTTGGAGAAAATTGCATTATTTTGAGCTTCACGGCCAGTACTCCTCACCTCATATTGTTAGGGTGATTAAATCGACGAGGATGAGGTGGGCGGGACATGCAGCACGCAAGGGGTAGGAGAGGGGTGTTTATAAGGTATTGGTTGGGAGACCTGAATGGAGGTTACAGCTGGGAAGACCTAAGTGTATATGGGAGGATAAAGTCAAGGTGGACCTTAGGGAGATATGAATCGATGGAGAGAAGTGGATGCAGCTGGCTCAGTGGCGGGATTTTGTGAACACGGTGATGAACCTTCTGGTTAAATAAAGAAAGTGGGTTATTCTTTGACAAGTCGAGTAGACAATCGACTTGTCAAAGAATTTCCTGCGCCATTGAGTGAGTGAGTTACAGAATTAGTCTAGGTCTAGACCATAGAGAACAGAGGAATCTGATCTGAAAGCTTTAGTTATGCTAAGAAGTACTGCCGGGAAAGAATCGATTGCTGCTTAAGAAATTCTAAAAACTAAAGGCAGTATTTACTGGCAGAACAAGTATTAACAAATATTAATTTTCAAGACAAGTACTATGATGAAAGACATAATACAATATTTAAAACTGTCTCACCACAATTCCAGCTTCATGCGAAAAACATTCTTTGCATTTATAATTTATGAAATTTTTAATGAAATTATAAATGACAAGCCATTTTGATTGGTGTCATCTGTTCCATCTTCAGTTTTTATACATGTCACCTGGGGCAGTGTTCCCATCGAAGTAAGGACTGAAAAGGTGTGCTCTTTGGAGGTCAACCCCAATTGCTAGGCGACGGCTCACCCCAGCTTGGCATTACCTTATGTCGACATCGTTTGCTGCTGTTCGTAAAACATTTAACGATGCGTGTCCTAACATGGAAGTGTCGATTAAGACAATACACCGACTGTTGACAAAATGTCGGGGAACAGGAAATGTTCCTCTGTGACAAGCGGTCATTAAGCGAAAACAAAACAGCTGAAATAATAGCAATGCGTCTTCGACAACATAATACAGTTGCGAGAATTAAATATTGCCATTGGTTTCTTAGTTTTGTGCGTGAAGGGATTTATGTACGACAGTTAGGATTTGTTTTAAAAGGGAACACTCTGTATAAACTTGAGCTGTAACCGAGAAGCTCTTGTTTCAACATTTGCTGTTGTTTCTCTTTAATCAGGGTAGAACTTTAAAGTATTCTTGGAATACGTGTATTTGGATGGGCTCAAGACTGTGCAGTAAAAGCTAGGACAAGAAGAGGCGTCAAAATACCATTTGTTACTATAGAGACGGCGTCACTTAACAGGAGCGTAGATACATCTGTGGGTAAAACAGAAGAACATCGTTCCCCAACGACCCATTCTGATTGCGCGCTGCGTGCTTATCCGAAGTAATGAACATAAGACGGACGAGCCGTAAATTAAATGGGATCATTATCTTAAAAGGTTTCTACTGGACGATTTCGGCATTTCCTCAATCCTAGAATCGCATTCTACGATTCGGATTATAAGACTGGTTCGTATCCTCGCTGGTTAGCCCATGTAAACCCCCAAAACAGGGGCATCATGGAGATGGAGATTTTGAATAGTCATTTTAATCTAACAGGATTCAAAGGTGTGACTGGCGTGCAGAGAACAGTCTGTAACAAGGGCTCTAGTTTTAAGTATAGCAAAAAATAAATACTTATATAAAAATAGCGAACGACTAGACTCGTGAACTGTTCGGACATCGTACGACACGTTGTCCCTTACCGTCCCAACTTCTCTGTCAAACCGAGGGTGTGTAAAATCCAGACGAAATTCAAGTTCGTTTGTCTCTTCGGTTTAAACTCACAGTATCTGCGCAAAAGTAGCATACAGCCGGTTCACTCTGTTCTTTCTTCACACGATTTTAATGTTTAAGTCGGCTATTGCAACAGTTCATATCAGATTCGTTTGTGATCACAAAAATCTGTATTTCAGTTAATAATTTTTATTTACGTTAATAACTAAGCATAGCCCTTCTTGAGAAACTAATAGTCGCTCAGCTGGCCAAATATTTCCCGCCTTTTATGGAATTAGGTTCATTGCCATGTTCAATAGCGCCCGTCACTGAGGTTTCCCGATCAAAATGATGTACGAATTTCTTAATTCCACCAAGCACGCTAAGTATCTCCCCAATCTAGACCTAATTCTTCTGGGTTTAAACACGAGAACAATATTACTTTACTTGAAGAGTATAAATTATCATGTTCTATGTAGTCAATTTTGTGTCATGTCTCATAGGTCAAAATACTTTCTCCAACATTTTATTCCCAAATACTGACAAATTATGTACAGAATGTTCCAAAAAAAATGTATAAAATTTATACAAACATTCAATGAATGAAATAAAGACATTTTAATTAACTAAACCATTACCTACGTCAGCACTGGCACTTAATGAAGATATTGCGGTACCATTTGTTAGTGTAGACCACACTAGGTCCCTCTCGTAAACACAGTAAACAAAGATCGATAGAAAGTTTAATATTACGTATTATTATGTGTATACATCTTTTTGGGACACTCTTTATGATACACGTATAGTGTTCGCGGCAACTAAATTCAATGAGGTCTTCATGGGTAATTGCCCGCTTAAGGTGGCCGTAAAATCTGACGTTTCGAGAGCCGTCTCGATCCTCATCATCAAGGATCATCTGATAATCACCGAGGATCATCTGCTTCCTAATGATGTGAGCCAATGTGGCTCTCGAAATGCCTGTTTCTTACGGCCACCTGACATGGCTGATTACCCGTAAATACTTAATTGAATCCAATTATGTTCCTGAAGCTAAGTTCCACATAGGTATGAAACGAGGCGTTATCGATTGACATATTTTAGCCTTTAGATTTCATATAGGATACTGAATTTATTTGGCTCAGCATAGGGACCAATGGTGTATTCTTGTGAATACTGTGATGAACTTTCGGGTTTCATAAAAGGTTCGTAATATCTTGAACAACTGAACGATTATTACTTTCTCAAGAACAGTAGTTGCATGAGTTAAATTTTATTAGGACACGGAAGATGAGTCTTAATCGGATAATGACAAGCATTTCCCTAATCAGTATGATCTAGTTTCATCATATAGTGCTTAGGCCCTATATTCTAATATAATGGTTTGGTCTACAAGCAGCTGATGCATGAGATAAAGTCTGGAATATCACCTCACACTAACCCATACGTCTTCATGACGTGGTACCTAAACACAGGGACAATTATTCATATATATGATAAAGCATAATCATATAAAAACCTTTCCTTATCTTCACCCCTTATCCCCCTTCCTTTTTTTATCTTTTAGTGCCCTTAGTTCGTCTGCAAGTACCGCTAAAAGCTGCATAATGGTAGCATCACCTACAGAAATGAGCGTCATTAGTGCATTACGAGGAATTAGGCCAGGCATGCATAATACAATGTACATACTGAAATCAAACATAAACTGTATCCTATTACATACATATAAGTAATGAATATACTTTGTATAATCCGAAAAAGATATTAGTAAGACGTTGTTTTTAGCTTACCTACTGTGAGCGAGAAGAGGTCAGAGCGATCCACAATAAGCCCAACGTGTCTCCAGTTGAACTGCTTGAAGATGCTGCTAAACACTAAACGCAGGCGACACTGGCAGTAAGACATTCGGGTCAAGGTGGCGTACTGCGTCTTGTCCTTGAATATCCCCTGCAATCACACCCGTACACAACTTTTCACCCCCTGGTGCCAGTTCTGTGCCTCTGGGTAACAGAAACTTTGATGGCGATGTATTAACTGCCAGTTATTTAGCTCATTGTAAGTTGAGAGACCGAAATTATAAAAACTTATTCTTGTACAGCGTGTAATTTATTCAATCTGAGTGAACAAAATTTTGAACCCACGAAAAATTTGTTTTGAGTGAACAAAATTTTGAACCCACGAATTTTTTTTTTAAAATTTCTTTTGACTGTTGTGTAGTGTTTCGAGTATTTTAAATAAGTTATTTATATATTCTTTGAAGAAAGTGCACAAAATGAAAGCATACAGGGAATGTCGTGTTTGCCTCTTCTGTACACCTGACTGCTCGTAATAACTTCAGAACAACTAGTCCTTTTTTTATTACAGATTGAAGCATCTCTCCAAACGTAATCGCGCCATTTTAAATTTACTGAAATTGGAGCAGCTGAGCGTTTTTTTACAAGGGAAGGGGGCTAAATACATTTTCAACGTACCTCAGTCATTAATGAGCATATTCAATTCAATTCAATTCTTTATTATTTGTGTGCAGTATCAACAACCAAAAGGCCAATTACAGATACAATACAGAGACGAACACGCGAACAAATTAATAAATATAGAAACGTAACAACAAAGGGAATATAAAATACATATTGTCACTAAATTTAATACTGGGATAATTTCCTAAGTATTTTGATTACATTAAATTTTGGCTTGAATCTGATAATTACTGATCACTTTACAAAGAGGCACTATTAGGTCTACTGCACTGTCTTTATAAATCAAAAATGTTCTGCTACGTTCCGTGAAAATCAGTTGAAATACGCTGTAGATGATTAAAATATAGAAGTAATGATAATAAGCAATAAAATACCACCTAGCTTCTTTTTTTTATAAAACTTTTATGGTGTACCCTCCAAAACTTAATTTATATGAATATTATAACATCATAAATCAATAAAAAAGTAAAAGTGATAAGCTAATATAACATCTTAGCAAAGTTTCATCACTACCTGTGTCACTGATGGTAGTGGCTCGTAACACTGAGTCCGAGAACCGATTCAGAACTTCAGGGGATAAAATTCTGCTATTCTTTTGTTCCAGCTTCTACAGATATAAAATAACTGAATCTTCTAGTCTTTATTGTATGCTTCTTGAAGTTCTTCACACTAGTCCCATGGGTAAAATGTACGACTTAATCATGTCGGGGCTGCGAACTAAAATGATACGTACTGTAGCAGACATGCTTAAGCAAGGATGCAGACTTATGTGCACTGCTGAAACAATGAGCATGAATATCACTGTTGCATTTGATATAAGTCTATTCCCTGCTCTGCTGATGTCATCATCGCCCATCACGCGGAGTAAAGATAATGAACAACTTTGGAATCGTACTGTACTTCAAAGAGAACAATTTCCAGTCGTGTGTTAGTGTTACTACTGACAACTCCTTATGGGTATTTGTTGCATCTCTTTTTGCAAGAACTCGCATGCTTGTCTCTGCAGCAAAGGAAATATCTCCCCCTTCCATTTTTACTATTGCACTCACAAGCAATTAAAGTCTTGACAGAACGACCTTCACTTGGTCCAGGCACTGCAAATTCTTGTGACTGTGTAGCAGCAATTGTTCCATAAACTTTATCACAAAACTGTAATTTTTCTTTAAGCCATAGAGAATACGAATATGGCTGCCTCCATCATCAGGGCGATGAGTGGCCTCATCGCCCTGATGACAGAGGCAGTAAGGACCTCTGGAACGTCGGTAACCTTCTACCAGACTACACGGCGTAACAACTCATAAGACAGCCATTTTCAGACTCATCGCCGTGAAAACCTCAAATCCTATATAGAAAATATATTTGTACCGCATAAATTTCTCCGAATGTCTAACTTTTAACCAGCGATGATTAATTTGTGATGTAAACAGTTCCACTGTGTTTTTTATCCTGCGTTGTATAACATCAGTACAACTTTGAAGGCCAAATTTACTAATGACATTTGTCAAAAAATGCTTCGGAGAGCTGATAATATGTGGTCCTCCAGCTTTGGGGGTTGGGCGGGGTGTAATAATTTCTTGCCCTAAAACAGTGGTATTCAACCTTTTTTGTTCGCGTACCCCTAGATATAATTTCTCTTCAACTTTGTACCCCCAAAGTCGTTGGCGTATAATTCAAGTTATACATAGTATATAATCTACATCTAAAATAAATTAAATTACTGATTAATCAGTGTTTATCATAAAATAATTTTTTTTTAAATTTCACGTACCCCCTAAGATGTCTTCGCATACCCCCAGGGGTACGCTTACCCCAGGTTGAATACCACTGCCCTAAAAGACAGCATGTTGCGAAATGCTACACGGAGCCACGGATTTCGCGGGGTCATTTAAACGCAACAAACCGTCTGCGAATATTTTTTCCTCTAGCTGAACAAATATTTGCCTCCTGAAGAACTCTGATCCATGGAATTTTTAATCAGGCATTAATGAGATTTTTATTTGTCATGTTAAAATGGGCCATTATAAAAAATGGCGGAATCCGAATTGAACTTTGTGTGAAGTACTGAGTAGTAATGTAAAGTGTTGAATATGCACACACTAAAAATTCAGCACTAAATGTTGGTATAAGCACCCAATAACAAATATAATATAAATTGATTTAGTAGTAGTTTCAGAGGTAAAACGTGAGGGCGGACAAACAAATATTCACTTTGCGCAGTTTTTGAAAAAAAGTACATAAAACCACGTTCTGTCGACAACAGGTCTATAAGACAGTAGACTGAATAATAAAGACGAATAATGAAAAACGTAAATATAATGAACAGTCCATGAAGTAGTCTACAAAGATCAATAGTTGTCTGTTGCTGTACAAGACGTCTTCGCAACCAATTATCAAGGCGTGGGCCTACTGGGAGACCACAAAATTATACTGAAAACAAAATAACCGCGTAAACTATGCGGTTCATTTAATGGGCGGATACAGAAGGCGTATTTCGCATACTTATATTGGTATTCTGAATGATTATAAAAAACCTTATGATGAAAAAACACTTATCGCCGGTAATAGCAGTTTTAATTAAGAGAACGAAAAACTAATTAAAATCTCTGGTGCCAGGTTAAACGGGCATGACTCCAAAAATTACAACTGAATATGAACAAAAATGATATTCGTAAATATTTTATTACAATTTTTATTAAGATTTCTGAAGATTTTCGGAGAATATAGATTTTAGTTTCCTGTAAACTTGTTCTTTGGGACTATACCCGTTCGACAGCGAAATAACAGTTTCGACGATAAGAAATAAAAAAAATACCGCGATATAAGAATCTCGTATTATTATTGCCAGGACGTATGCGGAGCTGACAGTTGCAGTTTGAGAATAAAAGGAAATCGTCTGGTAAATTGTTCTCGTCATGATATTGACTGTTGTGAATGAGTAGAATTGAGAAATAAACAACAATAATAATAATAATAATAATACCGGAACGGTCGACGGGATTATTATAGTCAGAGGCATAATTCTTCAGCCAGGTGTACCATTGCTGCAAATTACATATGCAGACTTTTGGACAATTTGAATAAAAACATTGTCTCTACTGAGGACACCTTCTCGTTACTTGGCGTTTAGATGATTATATGTATTTGGTTTAATTTAGTTCACATCTTTTCAGTGTTTTGTGTACTATTTATTCATTCTATCTTCCTGTGCTTACCATGTAATTGGTCCTTGTAACTGTTTAGTCAGCACTTTAGATTAAAAATGTAATTATTATTACTGTACTGCATTCGTAATTGGTCATTTGGCTGCTGATACAACACACTATAATAAAGAATTAAATTATTATTATTATTATTATTTGGCGGAAGTTTGAAGCCTCGTTTTACATTAATTTAGTTCCTGAAAACCACCAAAGTTATGTGAATTACTTAGAAAAATAAATTTCCATACCTTATGCACTAGGAGGGGCATGGAATTTTTACATGGAATTTTTCTTGCTGATGAATATAAATTCTGTCCTTCCTTATGCGAAATTGTTGGCATTCGCATTCCTTCTAGAAATTTTAGAGCTTTTCCTGTGTTTACTACTGGTTTTTCATTTAAAAATTATCCCTCCGCTAGATAAGCATCAGAAGCAAACCATGTGTAAATATTTTGTTATGTTTGGTGGACATTTGGTTATGCTTAAGCACATTTTAAGATAACTTTATATGTAAGTAGCATTGATTCATTAGTTTGCCTTTACGAAGTATAATTATTTCTTTATTACACGTTTTTATTGTTATCTTGGCGTTGAGCATATTTTAGGATAGGAACTGAATATTTAAATTATATACAGACAAGCTTTGGCTTTAAAGGGTTAAATATACCTCAGACAACAGACATTGCTAGACAAAACTGTGATGTAACGCCAGCAATTAAGCCTTCCAGACTATTCCCAAAAATGTAAACGCTTACCGAAGTGTCGTTCTTCCATTTGTGAAGGCGGCCCAGAATTCCAGATGATACCGACAGCTCCGTTTCGGATGGGGGCTGTGGATAAGAATAATACAGAGCATTATCCTAACAATTTGCGGGGGGAATTTTGGTTTTATGGCCATGGCAAGTACTTAGATGTAAGATCCTACTCAGCTATCATTCGAAATAAAATCACAATATTATATATTTCGAAGTTACAAAGTATGTATCTCGCTTTGAAAAAATACATATATATACACGTGTGTGCGCGCGCATGTGTTATGTGGCATTACAGAGATTGAAAGAAAATAAACTTGTCGTCCAACACTTTAAAGCTAGCCATTTTCGCGCCCCGCAAACTCAATTTATAGCTTTGAAATTAATTCATGCTGTATCTTTATCAAGTTTAATGCAAATGAACACAAATACAGGCCTCTTATATGAAAACTTGATTACAACTTCTTCCCCAAGATGTTTCGATTATTAGAAAACTACATGAAACTTGGTTCATGTAATAAATTGTATCCAATCACTTTCTTGCTGATCAACACACAGGGAAGACTTAAAGTTCTCAGGAGGGTGGACATGATGCTGTTGTTCTGGCTTATTACACTGTAGTAAACCGTATAAAACTTGTGGCTCATTCTTTTCATTTGTGTTGTGTTAACTTTTACATTTGTCAATTGTGAATTAAACATTTCATTAATTATTAAAATTACTTATCTTGCTCTTGGCATTGGTCAGTGGCTGTTACAACTGGCAGTGCGCAGTGTAAAGGAGGCGATTAAAAGAAAGAAGGAATAAAATTGCTCTAACCTGGTCTCCCATGCCAGTGATGATCGGTCTGTTCCAGTAGGCAGCGAGGCGAGCCACTGGCTCCAGTGCAAAGGCGCACGCTGGTCCTATGAAAGCGATGACATTGGCTTTGAAGTGCATGTCGGCAGCCAGACCAGGAGCTATGTCCCCGGAGCACGACGGGTAACTGTAAGGAACCTGAGTGAATTCTTCTTGTGATGTGCCATAGTGTTACATGCAGCCTGGTTGTTTTTATTTTGCAGTCGAACTCGTTACATTAAAAAATTCAATGCATCTGTGTCAAAGCTTACAGGTATCGACATGTGTTGCGTGTCATCTTCAGACCTTATTCATATACAGCACACAGCCTACAGATTGATACACTGACACTCTCATTTGATTTTATTTCAGAACACGACCAGTATATGTACCTACTCAATCGCTATGTCGTAACACAAAACGTTTTTTGAAAACTATAAAAACAAAACCAATTCATCATAAAAATAACGCATTAACAAAGAATCTGTGCAAAAAGATGTGCACACAACCATAATAACAACAAAGGTTGGGGTCTATTTTTATATGATTTATAAAATTGATAGAACCTAGGTCATGTACTTTATGTATTATATACGCAAAAAATTATCTATCAGCACATCTGCAGCAATAACCTCAATTTTAATACGTAACCTAAACTCGAACACATTTCTGGCTTTTATATAACTTTTAAATTTTAACATTTTATGTAGGGTCATAACACACAGAAGTTTCATAATTTATAACACAGCGTCCTATGAGTTATGTATACACAAGGTATGATGGCGGCAGGCAATAAATGCTGAAACATGTAAAGTTCGACACTGACATATAATATTTTGCTACAATGAACTGTGTTTGACTGTAAAATAAAAACAATCTAGCTGAGTAAACTCACCAATCCCATTTCAGTCGGTCAATAGTGATTTTTTTTTGTTAATTATAAGTTCCTTATTTTTCAAACTTAACCATCAAATACAATAATTCCTAACGTTACTCTTGTTAAAAGCCCAACATGTTTCAACCCGTAGAGAATAATCTTCATGGCGGTTAACTTTTTTATATGCTCCTTGGCGAAAGTCACTCCAGACTATAAATCATTATTCCAGCTCTACCTCTAAAACAACCTAGCCATTTAAATCTAGTTTTAAAAACTACACAAAAACAAAACAGTACATTTTCTAATAAGAGATATTGATTCTTAAACTTTGCCCGTTAAATTCTGATAAATTTATCCAGACTGGTTGTGGTTTGTCAAAATGTCCCAACAACGGCTTATGAGACGTAAAACCAACTAAAATGTAAGGTTGCAATTATGAAGCCTAGCTCCCCGATTCGTTTAAAAAATACACTGCAGTAAAACCTATCCACGATGGGGCCAGAAATTATCGGAGAATTTCTCCACTGTCATAATTGTAGAAAATGAAGCAGTGTAAAATTAACTCTAATTAACAGACGGTCTTCATATTTAAAGGAGGAAACGACAGAATATAAAGGAGAATGAATGCTTAATATCTTCCCTGCTTTTCCTGGAAATTATGTAAGGCGGAATAATCGTATATAGAACTGAATGATGAAGCCAGATCATCGATGAAGAGCAGAATACGTTAAATGCACAACTGAAAAAGTAACTAACGAAAGATAAAAAGAACTAAACAAAGATGGAGAAACGAACTAATCCATCTGAACGTGTTTACGTGAATTAAGTTACACGCCTTGCAGTTAAAATTATTGCTATTCAACTACTAATGATTCTCACTGTCGGTTGCGACTAGCAGGTAATAATCTGTAAAAGACATTTAAAAGAAAGAAAACTTTGTATCCTAGTACAAATTTGTGACTTCAGTCACAATTAAATAAATACGTCTAATATGTACGCATACTAAAAAGGCCTAATATTTATTAACTATAGCTTACTGGCACAGTTACCGCTGTATTACTGCGGGAAAATTATACAAATTACACTTGTTATCAATATTTATTGCCCGAAAGCTTATCACAAGCCCGAACATTCAATACGTATTGTTGAATATAACATGAAAAAGAAATATTATCCGCATACTCAAAATCCTCACAGAGACTCAAACCCAACACAGTTCTTTTTTTCAATTTCCTCTTTGAGGAAAACAAATTTTGTCTTGGCGCCGTTATTCTATCGTGCTTAGTTTCCGAGCCAAAGTAAACGTCCTCACCTGAAATCGAGCCCAAGACACGTTTCCGGAATTTTGATTTTCCTATGTAGTGTTCCTGGTCCCAATAAATAAGCTTGTAAAGTTTGGTTCAAATCGGTTCATCCGTTCTCGAGCTATAAGCGAACAAACACAAAAACACGTGAACAGACAAATTTCTGCTTTAGGTCTACAGTATAAGAAGCAGCCAAGTAGCTAAATGGCCTTCGTGGATTTAACTGAAACGCACTTAAAATGGAAAATCCATCAGGCACCTTGCGTTTCAGTTGTAATTAGGCTTTACTGAACAAGAAACGCGCCTGACTACATGGATTCGGGAAATTCGTTTTTGTGTTGTAATTTCGAACTCTGTCCTTCCTGTCGTGTTCGCTTACAAACTGAGAAGTTCTCAATCCCAATGGAGTTTGTCATGTGGAAGAACAAAAAAATATGCTTGTTGCATAAAATAAAGAGAAAAGCTGCCTCTCCCATTACATTATACATGAGGGAGCAATAACAAGGGATCATTTGCAGCAGTTGTTGCGTCAATTAGGCGTATTATATGAGGTCTATAGGGCATCTATTCAGAGCTAGTACGCGTACATTGTAATCAATGCAAAGTTCGTTCCCGTGACACTATATACCTTTATGTGCGGATATGTTGAATTTCGCAATTCTACATTTCCATTTGCTGCTGGTGCAGACGGCATAAGGTAAAAAGGTAGATCACAACTATCTTCTAGAAACAAAAACACTATTTTAATTTGGAATATAACATGTCTTTAAAAAACATATCTAAAGAATAATGAGGTGAAAAATATGATCATGTAAACCATTCAATTGTAAGGCGTTTGCATAATAAACAAATTGACCAAACTACGTAATAATCTGTCAGTGTACTAAGGATATCTGGGCTTATATTTGGATAGCAATGTTATTTAACGACGCTTTTTCAGTAGATCAGACTATATTACGTTGAATGAGAGGGTGGTAGTGAATGATGGATCGCAGTGTTGAAAGAGGGAACATTTAATAAAATGTACAAATTAGGATTTCTATTTCTGAAATAAAATGACAGCAAGGCATGTAGATAACTTTGTTAAGAACTCCAATCCCAGAAACATATTTTATACGAACAATTAACTAAAATGCATCACTTAGATGTTATTTTATTACGTACTTAACCTTACATATCTCAACCTGTTCTGTACACTACTGACTTCAGAGCAACATACAGAGAATTTACTTCTCATTCTTCTTATTCATCGCCCTGATGACGGAGGCAGTATGACCTCTGTAGCGTTGGTTAACATCGACCAGACTACACAGCGCAACAACCCAGAAGACGGAAATCTTCATACTCACCGCTGTGAAAACCTCAAGTCTTACAGGTAAAGTTTTCCCTGTGCTTATGCACCACGCCACGAAGAAGCATTGGGGAATACAGGTAACGGATCACACATGCTTAATCTGCAGTTCTCCAAGCCTCTTGCCCAACGCGTAACAGGTACGAAGCGTGATTCGATTATCGAAACTCAGGCCGTGCGGTTCGATACCGGCTTCTCTCCGTTTGTTTATAAAGTTTCTAAACTGCTCTGGTTAGCAGACTATAAATCTCATGTCTTTCTTTATTAAAGTACAAGCTATTAAAGTATAAATAATTCGATAACGTATTTGAAAATTTTAATATAAGAAGTGTTGGTATCAGCGGTGGTAGAACAGTGTGTTTCAAGCACGAATATGGCTGTCTGATGGGTTGTAGCACTGTGTAGTCTGGCAGAAGTTTACCAACGTTTCAGAGGCGATGAATCGCCCTGTTGAAGGAGGCAGCAAGGACCTCTGAAACGTTGATAAACTCCTACCAGGCTACACGATGCAACAACCCAGTAGACAGCCATCTTCAGATTTGTTGCCGTGAAAACCTCACATTTTACTTGTTTCAAGCACTTCGCCGTAATTTATTAATAATGCACGACTTCTTGGAATAGGAACAATTTGGATTTATAAATTTATTGTGTAAGGATGTTCCTTGACACTGTTCGTTGTCTGCAGTTGAGAGAGTGTCTACGTCGTGTGTCTTAGGTGTGTGACAAGGAGGGAAACAAAATTGTATCTACTCAGTTGCACCCGTTAAACAAACCTAGTTTATATTACTCTACAGATTCGTCTGTAAACAAATGTTAATGATTTCTCTAGTTCACAACGAATACCTGAAAGAACTTTAAGAATACAGGCCTCTATTTATTATTCTCAGCAATAAACTGGATCACAACTATCTTCTAGAAACAAAAACACTATTTTAATTTGGAATATAACATGTCTTTAAAAAACATATCTAAAGAATAATGAGGTGAAAAATATGATCATGTAAACCATTCAATTGTAAGGCGTTTGCATAATAAACAAATTGACCAAACTACGTAATAATCTGTCAGTGTACTAAGGATATCTGGGCTTATATTTGGATAGCAATGTTATTTAACGACGCTTTTTCAGTAGATCAGACTATATTACGTTGAATGAGAGGGTGGTAGTGAATGATGGATCGCAGTGTTGAAAGAGGGAACATTTAATAAAATGTACAAATTAGGATTTCTATTTCTGAAATAAAATGACAGCAAGGCATGTAGATAACTTTGTTAAGAACTCCAATCCCAGAAACATATTTTATACGAACAATTAACTAAAATGCATCACTTAGATGTTATTTTATTACGTACTTAACCTTACATATCTCAACCTGTTCTGTACACTACTGACTTCAGAGCAACATACAGAGAATTTACTTCTCATTCTTCTTATTCATCGCCCTGATGACGGAGGCAGTATGACCTCTGTAGCGTTGGTTAACATCGACCAGACTACACAGCGCAACAACCCAGAAGACAGAAATCTTCAATTTACTTCTCGATAACCATAAAATTGTAAATCTACCCAGAGCAGCATTGGATTCTATGAATAAATTGCAGAAATTCATGGTGAA